AATGCTGCTACGGAGACGACCATCCTCATTCACCTGTCGCATCTTCTTCCCCTTCACCTCCTCCTTCATTCCATCGACCTGAGCACACTCCATTTGGTCCCAAAACAAGAACCAGGAACGGAAACTACTGCTGGCCAACGCTTGTGCTCGGAGACAGGCGTCATAGCACAACGCGCGCATGAATGGAGGTATGGCGCAATGCCCTCGTCCAGGTAACGAGAATCCTGGAATGCAACTTTTTTAGATGGTTCAATGCAATGGCGACCCATTTGTTAATACTTGTGCCAATGGAACTCGGAAGGGTTCCATTCGCCAGCACATTGGACAGTGCTTCATTCGACTAGTTCTAACTTTGCCTCCCGGTCATCGCCTATGAGGGCACACTTTCCACTTCGTGTTGCCAGTTGGCATAGTGTTGGTAGAATGTCAACTATTGACGCGACAAAACACGCTCATCCGAAGCGCAGAAACGTGTAGGCGACGCTTTCTTCCGCGACTGCTCGCATGTACGCAGGCATTGAAATGTTGATCTGTCCTCCACGTTAGGGACAACAGCTTTCGCTGTTGCGGAGTAAGCGAGTGTATGGAATGCCAAGTGCGAACTGATCCTTTTAGTTGGGAAGGCAGTGCTCAACGCTGGTCCAGAGATGTGAGTGATTTCCCCAAATAGTGGTGAGGTTATTCGCTGGCCACTCAACTCACCCCTAGTCGAGCGTTCCCTCGTTGAACACTCGCCGTTTCCAGGGCAAGGCTTACGCATACTGCTGTGCCAACAACAAAATCCTCTCAGTTATGGAGCAACCAAAATTGAGGAAAGGAGGCTATTTGGCACGCTGTCAAGCTGATTGTTCTGTAAGCAATGTCATGTCACATGTAGACATCAGTTGGGAGGGCGAGAATCGGCGCAATTCAGTAATGAGGTCAGTGCACACCTTCACGAGACACCGAAATCAGGTAGTGGAGCTAAAAGCAAGTGCTAGAATGCTCCATGGCGATCGGAATCACTCGCAAAGCAGCAGTGAATCGAACCAGCACAAACGGTTCGAAGGAGCCTTGGCAAGTCGTTCTCAGCTGCACACAGGAAAAGATGAACATTGAAATGTACTGTAGTTCGCTCAGAGGAATGCGCTATGATCTGCGTATTGTAACCCTTTTGACTTCGCTCTGCACCTTGCATAAGCCAGTCTCACTGGCAGGATTGCCTGGCGTGATGGATGAAGTGTTTAGACAGTCAGGTGTGATTACAGTAGACTTGAAGGGCGCATCTGCACACATGCATGACTCACTTGTTGAAGTAAAATTTCTAGATTGCGTGTTGATGCGACTAATAGGAGGCCTTTTTGGTAACACAAAATAGCAATTCAGACTCCATTCATAACTTCTAGGCCCTTTTGTGCTATCACTGATGGCATGCCAACAACTCCGCAATGCGCAAAGTCCTTTCCCAGTACAGCCAGCTCGCCAAATTCCAAAACAGCGGATCCGAAATACGTGACTTCACCTTTGACTTGAACCACTGGATTGGTCCGCCCGCAGAGAGCTCAGCTTTGCACGAGCAAATCCTGTTAGGGTGATGAATGAACGCAGGACTGAGCTGCAATTGAGGTAGGCTGTCCTAACTAATGTCTTCACTGCTCAGGCCACATCATGTGCCAGGGGTGGTGCACTTGAGTTTGCTGCGATTTCGTTGAGGCTGCAATAATCGCCATTCCATTCAGAAGTCGCAAGCATTCTG